GAGGTTATAGGGATTATATAGGGGTTATCAGGTATATATCTTGGGATACAGTCAAGATGTCCCCATATATGGGAACTACTATAATGGAAATCAAATGGACAAGGACATGCAACATGAAATGGAAACTGGGATCATATAAGGGGGATTGTAGGGATTAGCATTATCCTACATAGTTAATGAACATGGGCTGCTATCAGGGAATATCTCAGGGACTATACTAACTACCGAGGAGACCACTATGTCCACTTAACTGGTCCCTTGGTAAACCTAATTAATCTTGACCGTGGATCCTGCGGTAGGCTCGAGATGAGCCATAGTCTGAACTCCTAGTATCCCCCTTAATATCCCCTATAGTAGTCCCCTATATAATCCCCTATATAACCCCCCTTTAAGGAGTTTAGACAATAGCTCATATGATATCTTTAGGGCTCAGGGATGCCTTTTCGGGCCCCCATCAGAATACGGTCCCTGACATATAGGGCACCTTATTAACACGGGACCAACATTTGATAGACCCGTCAACTGGGCGACGCAAAGAATGGACAATACCCTTATAAGTTCTATCTTCTGAAGGTATATTGGGCATAGCAAAGAACTTTTCATCAGTGTTTTAATCATTATCCCTAGCACTGACCCACCGCAGCGGTAAATACTCAACCCGGCCAGCCTAACATCCTGGAAGACTACTTAATGTAGTGGTCTCCCCAAATTAGAGGTATCTTTCTGGGGTTCCTATAGTAAGAATTATAGTACGGTCTCGTGTTTACGGAAACCACTTTGAAAGAGGGAGACTGACGTCCATCTACTATCCGCTTCAGTCTGTTCTTGTATGCTCGAAGGATTTTGCAGAGACTCCACGGCAGTAGTCTACAGGCAAGCCTGTTACAAACGCTTGTAGCAAATACAACAACAGATATACAAAATTGTAAGAGAACTATGAGAGACTATACAAAATACTGCCTGATTATAAGTTGGGAGTTCCCCAACTGTATGGTAGTTTCTATAAATAGGGGGCCCCAGAGTAAATCCCAATATGTGATAATCCGTATTACTGGGACCCCCCAAAAACCCTAATTGTCGGAAAACCACATATGGTGCTGCTTAGGACACACCATCTCAATGCCTACTTTTCTGCTGCAACCTGAACAAATCCCCTCCCCGAATACTGAAACCCTAGTAATCAACATGCCCATCATGGTGCATAGTCTAGAGAATGTTTAGTATGAGGAGTTAATGGGGATTATGTTAGGGGAGAGGACAAGTCGTACAACGAGTGGGGATTTCATAACCTATGGGTAGGCGACAAGTGGAGAAAGCATCAGTCGTTGTCATCTCGCCCACAGGATAGTGTACTACACTGAACCCTAAACCCTAAAGCCTATAGCGTATACCCTAGACCCGAAACCCCCTACATCAAATCCCTATCACCACAACATTTCAACAATCTGTCGCGTTGCAGCCCCTTGCTCCCTTCTCACTTTACATGCACAATTTCTGGGTTTAGATAGACTAGATGCTGTCAAACCCTGAACCCCAAAACCTAAACCCTACACGCTAAAAAGTGGGCGGCAAAGACTCTGCTGGCGCGCTTTGCCATAGAGGATGCCGCCAAAGATTGACAGGCATGCGCCTAGGATCTGCCCCTGGGTTAGCACCTGCAGGGGTTGGAAAACAAATAAGGACTATATAGGGTTATCTAGGGATAAGTGACAATAGAAGGTAGAAGCAGCACTATGAATAAGGAATACGTAGGGGTCATATAGGAATAATGGACTAGACAATTCAGGGTTTAGGGCCATTGGTTAAGGCTTAAGGTTTGAGGGTTCAGGGGTTTAGGGTTTAGTGTGCCTGGACTGTTCCACCGTACACCTTCTTTGGAGAGGTACCAGCTGTCGCATATTACCCTGCAAAAGGGCGGGGTGTAAGGGTCCAGATAGGAACCTAACCCACGTGTTTGGCGCTTTGAAGTCGTATATGGTGGATATACCTTTAACCATGTGTCAGGGGACTTACAGCAATATATGTATGACTCCAGGAAGCCATGTAATAAAGTTACTTATCCCCATTATTAACTTAATTACGAAGTCCCCCCCGCCCCTTCAAGTGAGGACTGATGGCTCACACCCCGAAGGGCGCTTGGAGGTTTGACATGCGCATGGCCTGACACATGCCTGGACAGCTGAATGAGGCAAGGAGCAGCTGGGCGAGGGGCGGATAAATACCGAACCACACGGGGTTTAGGGTACATGGTTTGACCCCTTTTAGCTATCTGCAACCCCATCATCACCTTCTTTGTCAGCGTTTTGGACCTATCACTCTCCCGCTTGGCCTTGGTGTGCATGCCGAAAGCTTCAATGCCAATGATCACAAACTTGTTGGCATTCACCATGACCAGGAAGCTTGTCGCGCCTGGAGAAGCCATACTGATAAGTACTAAGCCAAACCCCCAATTATTGAACCCCTCCCCTTAATGAGATTATACTAGGGATCTTCATGCTACGGACCTTCAAAGGGAGGGGTTGTTAATCACGGGTCCACATGAAAACACATCTTCAACAGAGTCACAAACAAGCATGGCAACTTCAATGGCATTCGTTGTGCAGGAAAAGCTGCCGCAGCTTCGGCAGCAACTGGCACTAGTAGCGGCGAGAAAAAATCAGTACCATGGTCACCCTCCAACAACCTTCTAGACTGGCCTAAATATTCACTATCCGGGACCCTATACTGGGTTGCTGTTAAGGAATTTAATTCAAGTTTCTAGACTGGGGGAACCCTACTATTTACTATATATACATTTGCCCATTATGGTAACTTAGTTTAAACTCCTTAATCGCAACCCAGATCCCTAAACCCCAAATAGTAGTTTCTATATTCTTTTCCATTATCCCCATATGATCCCTTTACGATCCCTATATAACCCTTATAGCCCCATAAATTGGCAGATGGTTGGTCCATTCAGATAAAGCCAGGGAGCTGATCAAGCTCTGGGCCCAAATTCCCGTGAAGCCAATAGACAGACCGATCACCTGGGCCGGCCCAGAACTTGGAGCACATCAACGGGAAAATGGAATGGAAACTGCGCGTTTATGGGGATGCATAGGGGTTTAGGGTACTTCTAGGTTCAGGGTAAGTATGACATAGTTCGGTTAGTTGTAATAATCGCGGCCGGGAACAGGTACGCTGAACTCCAAGGAATGCTTAGTCATGGTAAGATTGTCCGGCTCTTCCTCCGTTTGCTTAAATTCTGGGCAAATAATCTGCCTGTTCATGAAGAAAGCCCCTCTTGGGTGCATCAAATGGGAATGTAGGCTGCACTGATTGCGCAAAAGGCTGCCACGTTAGTGTTGATTGGTCGGCGACCACGCGAGCGGGGTGCATATGCCTAGACCTTCCATCTACCCTCTATATACCCCAAATAAAGACTATACAACCCTAGTTGTTAAAATGGTACAAGGAGGGTCCTGGTGGCTGTTAAACAGCTTGTGTCGGTCTGCTGACGGACTGCTTTACTTACTGACCCCCATATCACCTTTTCCCTTATTCCCTACATCTGTATGGTTTAAGGTAGGGTTTCTATACTAGGACTGACAATAAGTTTTCGGATAATATTCCCCATATAGGTACTTAGGATCCTTCAGGTTTCTGCAAGGGTTATGGCGAGCCTAGGAGTCTGAGGCTTTGTGTCCGATACTCGCAGTTCATCCGTCAGGGGACTTGGACGCGTACCTATCCCTAAACCCTTTTGAACCCAGAACTAAATCCTGACAAGCCGGGAGCGAAACCGCAAATCTTAAACCCTGAACCCTCATTGTGCAATCATTCAACGTGCTTGTGGAGCATTGAGACTTGCAGTTCGTATTGGCTGGCAGTAAAAGTAGCAGAGATGGGTTTGTTGAGGCTTCTCTGCTTGGATTCCAAAGTGCCGAACCCTCAACCTTGATGCGTAGCAGGACACTCTGTGTTCAGGGTCTTTGGGGAACACGGTTGGTGCTCAGCAAGCTCTACGCCTGAACTTCACATAATTCCCCTCCACCTGAAAAACTGAAAAAGAAGACCTGCAAACGTCCCAATAGAGGCTCTAGGTTTTGCAAAGGGTCGGCATTGTTTTTGGAAGTGGCATGTGTTTTCAGGGCTCATGCAAATTGTTGTCACAGCTTCGTAGCCTCCGAATGCGTTTCTGAGCCCCAACACGTTTCAACCCGCATGCGCCTGCATCTAATCACAAAGAAGGAATTACAACTAAGCAGCAACCATGCGTGGTCACGGCGAAGGTTGGGTGTGTCGGCGGTCCTACTAACGGCCCAGAAGCTCGTAGCATTCGCAGCTTTCAAGATTCCAAGAGCGTCCCAATATAGATTGGCCCACTGGAGCAGAGCCCCCCCCACTTAAACCCTAAACCCAAAACCCTCCCAAAAAAAAGCATGTAAAGCCTGCCAAGATGTGTACACCACACCACACCTATTGAGTAGTGTTTTTTTTGGTGGTTGAACCTCGTAAGATAATGTTCCTTATTTAAAATACTATACCCCAAAAAGGGATACAATCTTACTCTATAATGGGTACCATAGTGTCCCCAAGTAACATACGACATTATCAAGCCATGCCAAACATATCTGCCGCTCCAGTGGCGCAGCTGAGGCCGATGTACACTTTGTCCATGCCTCGCCACGATAAGGCTTCTCAATACAGGGATATAATCCCCTTAAGTAGATAGAATATGGCTTTGGGTATGTTATCGTAAGATCCCCATAAATCCCATATTCTATCTACTTAAGGGGGACTATGTCCTAGTGAGCCTCCCTAGAGATATATGCGGAGCTTGGGGATCCGTACTGGATCCCAATAATAAGGATTGTAATAGGGGTCTATATTGGAGTCATCGTACTTTGGGAAACTAACATCCAAGGGTGATTTTCACAAGGTCGACATACTTCAGGCCATCGTAGCACAGATTAGGCCCCTGAGCGATTCTGAGGAGAATGCAATCGCCCATATTAGGTATCAGTGGCCCTGATCCAGCAATGCACCGATGTGAAGTTCCGATGCGTTCCTCACATGACGGGACCTTGAACCGAAAGAACCACAAAAGAAAGCATGCTGCTGGCGCGCATACAGCAGTAGCCACTTGCTATACTTGAGGCTGCTGAACAACCAGCTCAATGTGAGCTAGGGTTTAAACTCCTGGTATCCCCCTTAATAACCCCTATGATGCTCCCCTATATAATCCCTCATACAACCCCCCCTTTCAGGAGCCTAGATTATGGCTCGTATGGGGAGTCTTGGGGAGTCACGGCCCGTTTGGGGGCTTATCAAGGGATGTTGGTCGAGGATGGCAATTATCCGGTGAACGCATTCGTCGTGGAGGCACCTGCCAACAAGCTACTACAAAATCTACAACCCTAAACCCTAAGCCCTGAACCCTCAACCTAAAAACCTTAAAACCTTAAACCAAAGCTTATACCCTAAACCTAAAACCCTAAACTCCAAATCCTACTTCATGACGATCACAGGAACGAAGCTGCAATCCACAGTCTCCAGAAGAATCCATTTCAACAACCTTGAGTTGTACTACTCAAGCTCCCTCCCTCCCGAAATAGATAACACACAGAAACACCCCTAAACCCTAAACCCTGAACCCAAATCCTAAACCCTAAACCCTAAACCCAAATCCTAAACCCTCAACCCTAAACCCAAATCCTAAACCCTAAACCCTAAACCCAAATCCTAAACCCTAAACCCTAAACCCTAAACTCCCATACCGTCACCTGTGAGGTTCGCGTAGGCTGCTGGTAGCTGACCTCTTTCTCAAATTACGTAAGGGCTTCGTGCTTCGTGTTTAGGATGTATATGGGTGGTTGTCAAAAATATAGGTCCCTTTTTGGGTACCCTAAATATGAGGTGCCATACTATAATAGGGATTCCAAAAAAGGGGCCAGAATTTCGACAACCACCCATATAGGGTCTCCCCTTAATGTCCCCATATAGTCGTCCCTTATATAATCCCGTAAGGTCTAGCATTCAGGACTATGTTCAGTGTCACTTGGGTCTTTGCCAGATCTTCGTCTCTAAGACCCGGGATGCCAAACATGGGAACACACCTGAAATACTCAAAGGCCAACCAACAAGAAAGGATGACAATCTATGTACCTGGACCTTCCTGGTACCCTTAATTGGGGATATATGGTCCCTAATAGTAGCTAGGTACTTAGGCCCTGATAGAGGGCAGGAGGAGGGTCTAGGTATGTATACTCCCGGCTTATTGAAAAACTCGAAGAAGCATCGTTGCGCTTAGGGTTTGAGGCAACAGCATGTGTTTGATTGTGAATGGAATGTTGCGCCAGGGTCATCGCGCAAGCTCGCCTGCAAATGTCGCAGAGTTCACTTGGGCTAGGGTCTAAAACTCCTAGATTCCTCCCTAATAAGCCCCGTAATACTCCCCTATATATTCCCCTACATAGCCCCCTTTAGGGAGTTTTGAATATAGCTTACTTGATGGTGCCCAGCGATCCAAGCCAAGGTAACTTCGCATTCCCAAACATACATGTGCAGTATTCTATTTGGGGATACTATGGTACCCAATATAGAGTAAGATCGTATCGTCCTTTTGGGGTATAGTATTCAATATAGGGAATATAATCTTATTAGGTTCAACCACTAAAAAAGCGCTACTCACATGAGCTATTGTCTAAACTCCTTAAAAGGGGTTAGTATGGGGGTTTGTGGTAAACTCCTTAAACGGAATTATATCGAGGATTATATCATATTGGGGATTATGTAGGGGAGGGATATTAAGAGTGATATTAGGTTCTGAAACTTTCGTGCATGTGGAACACCAAATGCACGCTGATTGAAAAATGGCTATGCTCTGTATAGGCGGCTTTTAAAGGGGTTGATTTGGAGGGCTTAAAGAAAGTTCTTGGGCTTAAAACTTTATTAGCATTTTCAAGTCAGCCCCTGTTTCGAGGTTCCATGTTAGTTTGGGGGTAGGGGAGATTTGCCAAGCGTGCATGCTTTCGGCTACCCGATGACACGCTGACCCACGCTTTGCAGCCATGGCTTAGCATCTATAGCCAGAAAACAACCCCTGATTCTAGATTGTCCCTGTTCTCGTCTGCTAAGTGGGACAGGCTGCTTTTAGAAATTCTGAGGTATTATGCTATGAGGCCCTGTGCCCAACAAAAGTCTGACTCAAGCAGAAAGGAACTACATCAGAGCCTCCACGTGAGCTCATAATGTTGCCTTTTTGAGTTAAGACCTGATAATCTCATTCCATCATCCACGTTTGGGAGCCCACTGGTGGGCTGCTGTTGCGACCCCTTCTCATAGATATCAACCCGACGGAAAAACCCCCCTGTGCGCATAGCAACCCTCCGAACTGAAAACACACACTACCTTCGAAGCTCACGCAATCCCCCCCACAGGAATGCGAAAACAATACAGTAGCGCAGGAAGCATAACAACCATGGTCCAACACCTTCACGAACTTGGCGACGAGGGCCTTAGGCCTAGAATGAACTCAGATTCCAGCACAACCTAATTTGCTGTAAGCAACGCCCAAAGCACTTTTATCCATTGCCGTCGCTTTAAACCTACACCCTAAGCCTTCAAAACTGCAGTCCAGCAGCCGACTTCACCCATCAAATAGGCTGCGATCCCCACAGGGATCATACCCATCATGTTGTTGATGACCTTGGCTCGGCTTTGAAACCCTAAACCATCCCAAACCCTAAACCCTAAACCCTACCCATCGACCTTAGCTCGGCTGGGGCAAGTGTGGCTTTCTCAATCAGATACATTTGGGTGTCCCCCACTTTTTAGGACTCTCCTACTGTGAGGGCATATGCGGCATAGGGCAATGCGGCATATGCCTAATCCTTAGAAAAGCCTGGAAAAGAAGTACCAAGAATGCCCGTAGCGTGATCCCCTTGTACTTGCAATCCAGCCGATTTTTTGAAGACAGAGCAGGTGAAATTGTAACGCACGGGTCCTTCTGAAACGGGTTTGGAGAAGCAAGCTCTTCCTTTGTGAGCGTCCTGCGGGAAAACGAGCATATTGGGGTGGAAAAGAGATAGCTCAGCAATGCCAAGTTCCCGAGAAGCTGATCTTCAAGCGCTGAACGACCCTGTCAAAAGCAATGAAACACCTGCCCAGAAGAGGGAGGAAACTTAAACTAGCCGGACCCCCTAGGCCCCATAGTCTACAAGTAAAATTGTGTTGGACAAGCGCCTCCAAACGGCTCCTCGCTAGTGTCTAAACCCTAAACCCTAAACCCTAAACCCTATATACATGTATATCTATGGGTATATGGTAGGTTGTCAGTAATACCAGTAGTATCTCCCCGTTTGGGGTCCCTATAGTAATTACAAATGGCCCGCAACATTTAGGATATTCAAGAAGACACTATTTTTTCTCGCAGCTTGCCATATGACATCGTGTCCACTCGTGAAAGACCTGAACTGTACCACGTATTCAGCGCAGGTGGGTTGAGTCCTGTAAAACCCGAAAAGACCATTGAATTCGTTACCTGCGAAGGGCATATTACATATTAGGGTTTCTGCGATCATAGTCATCTCCAAGCGTCTGTGATGCCTGCGCTGCAGTGTGAGGGTGAACTTATGGATGAGGGTATGTGCGTGTAGGGCAGGGTTGAAGCTAGGGGGACGGCAAGACTGTTGAGGCAAGATTTGAGGCTGAACATCAAAATCTCGTCGCCCGGCTGGCGGTAGGAAGAATAAGTTTGCCGGCATCTATCGTGATAATCTGGCGGGAATGTGCAACAATACCATGATGCCAGATCCTAGCATGCTCTTCCGCCATAAGCTATGAAGACGTTTCAGCAGTGCGGGTGGCTATGGGTGTCTATCCAAGAGAAGGCCTACTCATTTGGCGTGATTCGAGGGGATGTTGATGGGAAGGCATCAACGCACACAGGGCACGAGGCACGCTCGCACGGCATGGCTTGAAGCTGCAAGTCCACAACACCATGCGCGCCACAGGGCATTGAATGACCGCACTTACGAGCGTGAAATGAAGGAAAAGTCCGCGCAATCCACATTGTGAATGTATGCTCAAATGGCTGGATTTGCCGGAACACCGTCTAGGCATCTCCTAGATATAATTCAAGTGACGTAGTTATGCGGCCTCTTAACAGTTTTAACACTACCCGACTGATTCTCAAACCACTGTATCCACTGTTTCTCAAAGCTGCCTTCAGATTTGGTTGGTAAACCATAACAATGATCCCAGTATAACCTCCCTAAAACCCCTAAATCCCCGATGACTTTCACACATTCCCCGACCTTTATACCAGAATCCTACTGGGTCAACGCAATCCCCGAACCGAGCCTGTCTTTGAGATATCCACCGGGTGCTGATCCTCTTGCGGTTTAGGGTTTAGAGTTTAGGGCTTAGGTGTGTTCATGGCGAATGAAGAACATGGAGCTACTATGGGGCTTAGGGTTTTGGATCCTTATAAGTAGCCCTCTAGAATCCCCAATAGCATACAATAACATACTAGCTTCTATGTGTTCATGCCCTGCTGACAACCAGTAAGTTCTTTACTGCCGAAGACATCCTACCACCTGGTAGGGTTTAGGGATTAGGGTTGTCTCTGTACACTCCCCTGTGTTTCCGAACCCTGAACCCTAAACCCATTCCAGATCGCTACCAAGCACCAGGCAGCTTATAATGTAGTTTTGCAGGGATCCCAAAAAATGGTCCCCCGGATTTTGGAAAAACAAACCTAAATAAACCCCATACATAACCCCTACGTCCCTAAGCACCTGTATAACTCTGGTACTGCAGATCTAGTTGTTCGTGGCCTTCCTCATCCCCCGCCTCCTGCTCCCACTTCCCCTCCATCCCCTCAATTGGGTATGTGGGGCGGGGTGGGGGGTATATAGGGTTATATAAGGCTTTGTAGGGCTATTTCGGGATTATACAGGGATTATATAAAGCTTGTGGAGTTCAAGTTTTAGGTCCTATTCCTGCCACTGTGAAAGCCAGCCTAACCTCTCTGTCCGCACAGCAGTGTAGCCTGATGTCATGAATTCGATGCACTATCTACTATAATTAAGGTCCAAACAGTTTTAGCCACAGGGCTACTGCAAATACAGACTGAGAACGAAATGCCCACAAAGCGACAACTTACTGGTGGTAAGTAGGGATGAAGAAGGGAATATGACCCCCTATTTAGTAATAACCCCTGCATAAAATATGTGTCCTTCTTCCCGACTAATTCCCAATAATTCACGAGCCCAGCAGGGACCCTGAGGTTCGAGACACCATACAATACCAGCCTGCAAGCCTCCTAATAAGGGATTTTAAGGTCAAACCATGAAGTGTCAGCCTAGAAGCCTGCAAAGCAGCAATAAAACAGGACCGTTTAAGGACCTTAGAGATTCCATTGGCATAAGGAAATATCCTAAGCAATAATATCTGAACAGGGACCTTTGCAGAGTTCTTGACCTATATCTGATCTCCTTCTTTGTGTCGACAAGATACAGACGCTTTTGGGGGTACAGACTGCTGTGCCTGCGCTAAAGCCCTAAACCCGAACACGTCCTTGGATAGCAGTAGTCGCTGCAGCAGCCGATCGCACACGGCCACGACGCTGTTCAGCATAACCCAGCCAATGCCCTGACAGGATTTAGGTTTAGGGTACAAACCCCAATCTTGGATTATATCAGTCAATATCAATATACATATGAATATGTAATCCTTATTGCCAGAACCCACCACCACCACCGCCCCCTCGCCCCCCCAAAGAAAAACTGTTCTTTCCACTTAGCTAGCCCCA